CCCCCCCCCCCTCCCCCCGAAACCACTAACCTGCGTGGAGAGCAGCGTGTCCACCCTTCCCGGGGTCAGCTTCACGCGCACGTGGCGGAGCCCCTGCCCGACCCGACCCGAGCCCCGTTGGTCCCCGGGGACATCATCATCGTCTCCCCCCCCTTCGCCGGCCTCCGCCGACCCGCCCATCACCACCACGCCGTACCGCAGAACCACGCCACCACTGACGCTGCCGGTAGTGGGGGTCGCGTTGGGGGGCTCCGTGGGTGCGTACAGGCTCGAAGTGGGGCTGTTGCTGTTGCCCCCGCCGCTCTTATCTTCCCATGCTATCACCTGTTGTTCGTTTTTTATTTTTGCGGTCGAATTTTTTGCGGGACTGTTTGAGTCAAGCCAGTTTGGTGTCCCGAACATGACATGATCCGGTCGGTGTGCGCCATATGCCGGCCACGGTTCGTGTTATGATGTTGTCGCCGGTTTGGGTGGCGTCGAGGAGATTTTTGTTGCGTGTGGGGTGCTTGCTCCCCGTGTCTACGCTGACGATGCGCCAGTTTTGTTGCACGCGCGAGAACGAAGCTCGAAACAGGCAAAAAAAAAAAAAAAGTCCGGCGAGGAAGCATGTATCGCTAACAAGGGGATCGATTGGTCGCACACGTAGCAGATCAACTCCGCCAGAACCTAGAGGTTATTGAATATACACGTTAAATACGCCGCGTCATTATGGCGTTGCAGGGTATGGCTTTCTGTTCCATGTCTTTTCCCTTCCTTGAGGAGACCACATAAAAAAAGGACAAATATCACGCCCCCCCCGAACACATGTTGTTGAATATAGCACCGCGCTTGCTTGTGTTAGTAAACATCACCATGTCCTTGAGGTGTGCATTTTTTTACGCCACGGGGTTTTACCTACAGCTGTATTCGGCGCTTACCTCGTCGTGTCGCGTGCGTGATACAGGAAGCACCGTTGCCCCACTCCCCCCCAAAAAAACATGACCTGCGTCGCCTTCCTCCCGCGTGACTCCAGCTGATTCATTCTACGTCAAACACATACACCGAAAGGTGGGCAGCAGTAGACTGGCGCCCAGAACATCGACAGCACAAACCACCAAAACACATCATCGCAATGACAGATGAAAAACACGCACCTCCCCGGGCAAGAAGGCCTTGAGGGGTTTCAGCTCCAAGAGCCTCTTGTCTCCCGGCGTCAGCGGCTCCCCTGGCAGTCCTCTCGTCAACTCGTCTCCGGCAGTCGCCCCCTCACGGACTTGCAGGACGCTCAGGCAGCCCTCCACCCCATCCTGAATCCACGTTTTTTTTTAGTTTTCGAGCGATGCTGGTGAAATTTTGGTTTTGGACGTAAAATGCACACGGTACTCTATCCCGGCTGGCACTTTTTGTTTCGGTTCTCGACATGTTTTTGCCATCATTTGTTTTTGTTTTTGGAGCAATTCTGGTACACTTTTGGTTTTGACGTTTATTCTGTTTCCCGGCATTTAATACTCCGTCTCTACCGAGATACTTTCCAACACAGTTCTTCGTTGCAGCGATGCTGGTCTAATTTTGGTTTGGAGGCGCTGCTGTTGTCGGCTTGGTTTTCATGCTTCGTTTCTAGACATGTTTTGCAAGAAAGGTTTTTTCAAGCGATGCTGGTCAAAATCGGTTTGGACGTTTTTCGTTATTTTCCGGCATTTTGTTGCTTTGTTTCTAGCGATGCCACATGACATGTTGACGAGCGCACGTAACGTCGTGAGTACTATCTTCCTCTGTGGTTGAATGCTCAAGCAAGCAGCCCCACATCCTACCCAATCGTGGTACACGTATGCATGTAGAAAAATGTTACCAACAACTCCCGATATAGTTTTGCAAGTTTTGCATGTGCAGCATGCTTGGGGCGGTAGCGGGCATGCACTACTGGCACATTTGTAGAAGATGAATGTTTAGCACAGACGTTGTAGCACAAAGAACGATAGCATATTCCTTCTTTTCCGCATATTCTTCCGTCTTGCCGCTCATCGGGGGGCTTTGGGCTGCGAGTGCCATTACCGGTTATCGCGTGACAAGGGCTTGTCGCACTCACAGCCCAAAGCCCCCCAATGGGCGTCAAGTTGGGCAAATACGCGGAAAAGAAAGAATACTATTTTCCTCAACTGCTTTCCATCTGTGCTGAATGTTTGTTTTCTACAATCGTGCCAGTGTGCTGTGCATATAGTACTTCAGTAATACTGTGCATGTAATACTGCAGTAACACTGCAGGCCCGTTCTGCTGCACGAGGTCACAAACCGCTTCGTTTTCCGGCACAAGAACAACGGCAACACAACCAACACAGACACCAACACCAACAAGAACAAGAACAAGAACAGCAACAGCAACAGCAACAACAACGACAACGACAACAACAACGAGAGAGATGCACTGACCGGCTTGGTGGCGAGCAACACCGAGAGCGGCCCGACGGCCGCAGGAGGAAGCGACACCAGGTTGGTTACGGCCAGCGCCACCGCGTACGAGGGCGGGAAGGCGCCGGGGAGTACTCCTCGAGCAATGAGAATAGTCTTGTTCGTCTGCAAGGAGGACGACGGAAGGACAGGTGACACAGACGGAGGAAGGGAAGATTAAGATGGCGGTTCGTGTGTACGCCGATTTGTGTGTAGCACGGAAATTGCTTGCCTGTATGTACGTGAGCCGTGCGTGCACGGAGCTTCTTTCGGGAGCGCGTGGGGGG